AAAGGACTTGTATCGCTGAAGTTTTTTCGGAAATAATTTCTACGGAAAATTAACCAACGACCAGAGACGTAACAATATCTTCCTTTATAGTAACGCCATGGAATTTAGATTAACAGTTTCTTGTCATCACTCCCATGCAATCAGTCCAGCTGTATCAAACATCTTTATTTATTCTAGTTGGTTAAGCTAATATCACGTGACGCTCAACTCTCTTTAATTAGAATAATTTCATAAAATTTAGTAAATTTATGCTGAAGAGTGGGCAATGAATCTATATAAATGTAATAGTACTGTCTGTTTTATGTCCAGTAACTACTTCGCAGGGTGTGGATGGATCTTCAAAAAATTGGTATGGAGGCTCATTGGGTCCATGGGAAGATACATAAAAGTTTCAGTTTTGCGATTTTTATGGGCGTTGTTTACCACTACTGTGGGTAGATTTTCACCAAAATTGGTGTGGAAATTCATTAAGTCCATGCGGAGATACATACAAATTTGCAGTTTTTTGCAATTACATATAAGGGAAGTAACTTTTCATGTTCTAAGATAACCTTTGATTAATCATGAATTTAGATAGCTTCCGTCTATGGGACAAGTACTCCAGCTAATAATCAGTAATAACCGTCCACCCATAATGATTCTTTTGAAAACTTGAGCTAGAAACTGCTAATATAGTTTGCTTGGCCTAACCAATACTTATGTATCTGCACGTCCTTTCACCTTATAGTTTTGTTGCTCTAAATCCGCCGTCTTTAACTCAAATGACAAAAAAGTAAACACAGTCCACTGGTACTCTTAGGTGAAACTTTAGTAAAAATGTTAGACCGATAGCTCAGGTGACTTTTTGTATAGGCGTGCGCAAAAAAATCATTGTCGAATTTGAGCGGTTGTTGTTGAATAACTGTGCACGTGAGGCTTATATTTACACCACATGAGACTTCTAATTGTAGGTTGTAAAGATCTATCAGTGTACCAAATTTGAAAAAAAAAAATCCATAAAGTTAAGTATGTTTTTCTTTCAAGTAAAGTGTCTGTACTTTTGGTATAGAGAAAAAAAAAGAAACTCAATCTAAATTGGAGATATCTCAGGTATTTCTAAATGGATTGTCTTGAAATTTGGTATGTGAAGTAAGAATCCAGTAGAGCACTGGAAATATTTGATAATTTCAATTACCACAGTCCGAGATACAGAATGTGGAAAATAGCTACATTATCCTTCCTGTTAATAACACACAGTGTGTCCTGCAGGTTGTTTTGGCCGCACCACACACTATCGTGTGCCTTGATCCAAAGTTGATCTTGTTGTGAATCTGACTTAGCTTTTTTTGATACCTTCTTTCTAAAACTCTAGCTTTAAAAATGCGCCTGGTGTGTGAGGGGTGGGGTGGTCCAAATCTTTGATGAAATTAAAGATAGAATAATTAGTGCTTATTTTAGAATTTCTTAAACTAATAAAGTCTTGTCTATTTCGTCCATTCTTACAGTCATCTAATACACAGAAGTTAATTATAATGTACTTGTAACTAATTAGTCTTTATGTTGTGTTACAGTTAAGCTTTCGTTGTTCTAATCAAAATTAAAAGATTGAACTTATCTCTCTCTTTTGTCTTTCACAGGGCTGTCTGTTTTAGATAAAAGTATCAATCTACCCCGTAGTCGTTACTCTTTAGCCTGTCTTCCTATTTCTGTGGCAGAAAGGAGACCTCGAACACGGTTTGTAATATAAGCAAATGTTTTTATCAGTTACAAGTTTAATTTCAATATGGTTTTGTTAAAAATCTTGACCCAGTTCAGATTATTTTTTTTTTACTTTGTTAATACACTCCCACATAAAATACTCTGTATTTATTGTATTACTTCGGTATGGTAATTTGTTGTTTGTTAATACTAATATATATATATATATATATATATATATATATATAGCTAAACTATAGCAAGACCCAATCAGACAGATACAAGTCTGAGTCTGTAAAACATCCTTCTGTGGTGAAGCTGTATTACACGCAATATTAGTGTATGAATATAAATATAGTTTTATTTTTGTTATGGTTATAGCATCTGTTCACTTACTATTTGTGAGTTGTTGTTGTTTTCTGCAGTTCCCTATCTAAAGAAGAACCATACAATATTTTGGATCGTGATAAAACTACAGCATTTGGTAAAGTATCACAGCAACAGTTTGACGTCTCATCCCAAAGACGACATGTTAACACCTTGTCTGTTTCAAATAAAAGCTCACAAACTCCAGCAGTTCCCTTGTTCTCTTCATCACTCAGGACAGTAAACCCAAAAGTTAGATCATCCAAAAACTCACGCTATGAAAATACAGCAGACTTTCGAGGGACGAAGACACGGAGAGAAAGTAGTCCCTGCAGTCAACTACACTTTGTCTGAGCATCAGTCTGTGAATCATAGTGCTACATTTTGTAATAAACTCTGCTCTGTAAGTTTATTGTTAAGTTTAAACCAAATACATTAAAAGTTTTCCAGTGTTAATCTTCACTTGTGTTGATACCATTTACTGCAGGAGAAGTTTCGAATGTTTAATTTACAAAATAGGTAGAGTCGGTTGTATTAGGAGAAGTGCTGTTAAAGTATCATGGAAAAAAATAAACCATTTTTATTATTATTAAAGCAATTAAGACAATATCAAGATGGTAGATAGTTGGCTTGACTTGAACTAGGTCTTCAGTCTACAGGATAGATGTTTTCATGAGTTAACTTACTATATAACTAGAAGGTCTACAGGATAGATGTTTTCATGAGTTAACTCACTACATAACTAGGAGGTCTACAGGATAGATGTTTTCATAAGTTAACTCACTATATAACTAGAAGGTCTACAGGATAGATGTTTTCATAAGTTAACTTACTATATAACTAGAAGGTCTACAGGATAGATGTTTTCATAAATTAACTCACTATATAACTAGAAGGTCTACAGGATAGATGTTTTCATAAATTAACTC